TGAGGACACCAGAACTGTGTGCAGGATCCCAGGTGGGTCTCACCAGAGCAGAGCAGAGGGGAAGAATCACCTCTTTTGACCTGCTGCCCACACTCCTGGGGATGCAGCCCAGGATTTGATTGTTTACTTATTTATCCAACTTAGGCATCAGTAAGCACTGCTGCAGACAGAACAGCAAAAGCACAGGGCAAGCAGATCCCTTCCTGCTTTGAGGTAACATTTGCAATGTCTTTTGGCTACAAGTTTCCTGATGATACAGTCTCCATCCTACTTACTGCATCCTGTTGCAATGAGAGTATTAGAAATGCTAATGTATAATTGCATACTTATAATTAGTATCATTATAGCATGTTATTATGTAATATATTTATTATATTATATACGTTATCTATAGCATGTCACACTACTCACAGGCAGCAATGAATATAGCTCCAATGTATGCCAACCAAAACAGTGATTAAGCCTGGATTAAAACCAGTCTAAACAGAAGGAACTGTACAAACTTCATCCTCAGGTTGACATTCCCATTATTCCAGCAGTTTACAGGGAGTTTTTATCCCAAAATGTATTTTGGTGCTGCTTAAAATTTGCTGGGGACACTAGGACAGCTGGTACAAAATAGATGGTAACTCAGAGGTACTAAGCAAGCATGAAACTTGCACATCTACTGACTTGGGCTGCACAACACAGCCAAGACCCACGGGATCCCCTCAGATAACCCCTGTGCCATGTGTTCTTGCTTACCTCTCTCACCTGCCATCTGCTATGCATTCTCACGGTGTAACAGGCCAGGGTAGGTAGAGAGGGAGCAGCAATCCATACTGGCCACCACTCCCTTCCCTGTGCTCTCCAAATTGGGAGCAGGTGATCCCCTTCAGAAGCGCCGTGGGCTCCCCTCATGTCATGTGTCAAGGCAGTTTACAGAAGGCCCTGGGAAGATGTGAAGTGACGTGACACACCACGGCAGGACAAGTACACGAATGCCCAATCAGCTCACCTCAGATGGGAGGCAGCTGATGGGGGAGGCAAGCAAATTGGAACCTGCTGGAACAGCATGGGCTGCTGACTGCCCAGATTACCTTTGGCCAGCTCAGCACATCTCAACAGAAAAATGCAAGCTCAGTTACAGGGAATCACAGGCAAGCCCAGAAGGTCAGATATTCCATTAACCACCAGAATCCCAGGCAATCCAGAAGGTGTTGAAGGCTGGTACCCTGAGGAACAGCCTCAGTTTAGCAAAGGGGACAACTGCACCAGTGCCTAAATAAACACAAGAGTTTATTGGAAATGAAATGGCACAGACAGCTTCAAAATAAAGAAAACCTGAAGTGTTAGCAACAAGTTTTAAATATCTCTAAACTAAACTATGTCCTGTTACTACTAATTATCTTTCATTTGATGTGATGGGAATTTTAGTATTCCTGGAAGTGTTCCAGGCCAGGTTGGATGGGGCTTGGAGCAACCTGAGCTAGTGGAAGGTGTCCCTGCCCATGGCAGGGGGTGGAATTGGATCATCCTTAAGATCCCTTCTCACTCAAACCATTCCATGTTTCCAGGCTCTGAGAAGGAAGAGATTTTTTATGGAGAGAGTGATGAGGCATTGGAATGTGCTGCCCAGGGAGGTGGTGGGTTCACCATCCCTGGAGGTTTTTAGGCTGAGACTGGATGTGGCACTCAGTGCCATGGGCTAGTGACCACGGGAGGGTTGGACTTGGTGATCTTGGAGGTCTTTTCCAACATGATTGATTCTATGACTCCCAGTTCTCACCAAGTGCCTGTTTGCATTGCAGTGAGTCCAAAGCAAGACAGTGTTTTTCAAAGGCTACTTGTTTCCACCAAGCTTATGATCATTATTAATTACACCCATTAAAGGTGCCTATCACCACAGCATCTGGGCACTACCCATGTTTGATTCTTTATTTATAAAAAAATTCTCCAACCTTGTGACAATTTTAATCAAGTGTTTCAGTTGATAATTACAAGCTGTCAAGGTTAATACAATAAGGCTCATCTCTAATTCCATTTCCCTCCAAGAGGGGGAAAAAAAAACCAAAC